CTTGCTGAGATAGCACACTACACTTCAATGTTTTTATTACTACACATATGGGGGTTTTGGTAAGATTGTGGAAAGGAGGGACAACATAATTGAGCAGCTGGGAGGGACAAAAATGACAGTGTGGCAGCCATTTATTCCCACTTGGATAGCAAAGTCTGGGGAACCTTTCCTGGAAATTTAAAAGTTTGGATGTCCAAAAGGATCCATTTCAGGCCACTATTTCTCAAGTTGGTTAAAAATTATATCCGCTACAAGGGAGAGTGAGGGAGAGTGTTGACACTGATTTAATGAATGGAGTAGCTTTTACATAACGAACTATATAAACATTATATACATAGTAATGTTGTCTTGTAGATGATGTCTGTGTGGTCTTGTTTGATTTTTACCTTTGCCTTGCTCAAAAATATGAAATTGTGCCCTGGACAAGATTAAATTTTGGGGTACAGTGCTGTGATTTCTGACACAGTATATTTAAAGCAATTACTGATGGCAAAGGAATTAATTGGTACTTCATTGATGAATGTAGAGCACAGCAATCAATGTAAACCACCATACCAAAAAACATGGTGACTGGTACATTCACCCAGAACTCTTTGCACAAGAAAATCCTGGAACCACTCAAAAAGTCAAGCAGAAAAAATCTGAAAAATTTAAAATTTGCATACATGATGTTGTTCTGTGAAATATTGCTTTCTACATGTGTCTTACCCTAAGAATAAAGGTAAAATGTACAGGCACCATCTTTGTCTGTAAGTGGATTGAATCTATTGGGTAAACACCAGAAAAAATAATAATATTGATACAAATAGGCTGAGGTTTTAGTATATGTATGCCGTGGTTTAGTTTTATCCTTAGTTTATTCTTTTACTTTTAAAAGAGGCCAAATTGATAGTGACATATCATCTTACCATAACTTAGGCTATGAGCTAAATTTTATCTTTCTTTACACAAAATGCATTTTTCATTCATATCATTAACAAAACCAAAGGAATCTGATTTTTACACCAAGGACAAAAATTAAGCACAACAGATACCTTTCATTGGCACTTTTGCTTATTTTGCTTTGCTGCTGGTTCTCATCCATGCCTGTATGAATGATATTAAGTAAGGGTGAAAGGATTGGTATTTTCTTCACAAAGATAGTTGCAAAGAGTGTCTCCATTGATATATGGATTATCAAACACTCACAATGACTGCCAACAAGACCAAGTTCTTACTAACAAGTGTAGGAGCAATAATC